CTGAAATGTGATCAGTAAAGTCTCCGGAGAACACGGAGATCACAGGGATAGGATGTGTCCTGGCAAAGCCCAAAGACAACGTTCATCTTTCAGTTTAGGAGAGGTGGGACGCACCCGGGAGAAATGATTCTGTGTACAGAAACCTCACAGAGCGCCCCCCACAGCTCCTCCTCCCAATGTCCTCCAACCAGAGTCAAGAGAATCCTATGACATCACACTGACCTCACAGCTCCCCCTCCCAATGTCCTTCCATCCAGAATCAGAGAATCCTATGACATCACACTGACCTCACAGCTCCTCCTCCCAATGTACCTCCAACCAGAGTCAGAGAATTCTATGACATCACACTGACCTCACAGCTCCTCCCTGAATTTTGTGTAATGACATCAGAATGCCTTTGACAAGCTTTTAATCTACTTAAGGGGGAGGGGGATCCTGTGTAGGCTCTGAATGGTGAGCTGAGGATTCTGAGAATATCATTTGATTTTACTATTCATGTTCATATCTAGAGTTTTCCTCCTGTGAAGTCTGGAGATCATATGACATCACATTGTCTCCACCTCCCTCCCTGATAGAAGAGAGAAAGAAGAAGAAGATTCTAGAAGTCACCAGAGAGATCACTGAGCTGCTGACAGGAGAGGTGAGCGGTGCCGGGAATTCTGGGACATTCTCCAGTAACAGACAAGGGATGTGTCTGGATGGTGACTGTATCATTGTGTGTGTCAGGTTCCTATAAGGTGTCAGGGTGTCACTGTCTATTTCTCCATGGAGGAGTGGGAGTATTTAGAAGGACACAAGGATCTCTACAAGGACGTCATGATGGACAATCAGCCGCCCCTCACATCACCGGGTAAGAGGAGACTTTATTGTAAAGGAGAGAGCAGTACGGAGGATCCACCTAGATCCCCCATCATCTGATAAACACATAGAAACAATGGATTCAGTCAGTGTGTGTGTTTCCTACAGATGGATCCAGTCATGGGAACCCACCAGAGAGATGTCCCCGTCCTCTGTATTCCCGGGATTCCACACAGGATGGTCACACCATCCCTCACCATCATCAGGTAGATGGATCCAGTCATGGGAACCCACCAGAGAGATGTCCCCGTCCTCTGTATTCCTGGGATTCCACACAGGAAGGTCACACCATCCCTCACCTCATCAGGTAGATGGATCCAGTCATGGGAACCCACCAGAGAGATGTCCCCGTCCTCTGTATTCCCGGGATTCCACACAGGTCCATATTAAAGAAGAGATAAAAAAGGATGATGAAGATGGTGTTAAGGAGGAGGCAAAGTATCCAAAAGAACACAAAGATCTGTACCAGGACACCACTTTGGAGTCATCCAGCTACAGGAACCAACCAGAGAGATGTCCCCGTCCTCTGTATTCCCAGGATTCCACACAGGAAGGTCACACCATCCCTCACCATCATCAGGTAGATGATGACAATTATTGGTAGTTGTGATTTATACACAACTTGTTTGTTACAATGAATGTTTTATTATATCTTTCAGAGTGGAATCCTCGGGGATGATAATATTGTTGTTAAAGAAGAGTATAAAGAGGAGGATGAGGAGTATGGAGTGATGGTGGGGTTTTCAGAAGGACACAAGGATATGATGGAGCCACCTAATACCAGGAACCCACCAGAGAGATGTCCCCGTCCTCTGTATTCCCGGGATTCCACACAGGAAGGTCACACCATCCCTCACCATTACAAGGTTGGTGGGCTGAAGAATCTAGAACATGGATTAGTGGAGACAATGTGTGGATTTTTTATGTGATGTCACAATATTAATGCTTATATTTTACACATGATATTTTCTTTCCTTTTCTTTGTTTAGTGGGAAGATCCTAAAGATATAGAAGTTGAAGTTGAGTTAAATCAGAAGAAGAAGAAGAAGAAGAGGCGTATGTGAGGGATGATCAGCAGTCTATGGAGGAGGATGGAATAACGGGGACATTTATAGAGGAGGACACTCCTACAGAGATCAGCACAGGTGGGTCATGAACACTAAATCCATTCCTCCACCCATACTGCTCACTGATTGGTCCAGAGTAGGGCGGGGACTGGGTGATATCAGCCTGTAATCCCCTGGTCACTTTCCTGAGCTGTGTTCCCCGTCCTGTATTCCTGGATTTCTCTCGGATAATCTTCCTTCTCTGTGCTGCAGACACAATTTATGTATCTAGACTGGATTTATGGAGGTTCTGGGGATCAAATGGCAGTAAAATGTTGAATTTCCCAATAGGCTTTGCTCAGCCTAGGAATATGGGGCATGTATATGCCTTGGGTCTTCTGCCTCATGCCTGGGTCCAGCAAGATCTCTGACAAATATCCCAGAATTACTTGCATTGTTGTGTGCTGTCTGTGCCGGGTGGAGGGATATGTCTGCTTAGTCTCAGACCCAAGTCACTGAGTTCAGACTCCGTTAAGAAAACATTTAACCACTTGCCCTCCAGAGGATTTACCCCCCTTAATGACCACGCCTCTTTTTGCTACTCGGCGCTGCACTAATTCAACTGATAATTGCGCGGTCATGCAATGCTGCACCCAAACGAAATTTTACGTCCTTTTTTTCACACAAATAGAGCTTTCTTTTGGTGTAATTTGATCACCTGTGCGCTTTTTATTTTTCACGCTATAAACAAAAAAAGACCAAAAATTTGGAAGAAAAACAATATTTTTTACTTTCAGCTATAAAAAATATATAGTAAACTCAAAGTTGGTTATAAATTTAGGCCAAAATGTATTCTGCTCCATGTTTTTGGTAAAAAAAATCCCAATAAGTGTATATTGATTGCTTTGTGTGAAGTTATAGCGTCTACAAACTATGGTATAGATACTGCAATTTACACCATTTTTCTGCTATACAGCGCTGCGCTAGTTTAACGGACAATTGCGCGGTCATGCAATACGGTACATTAATGAAATTTACATCCTTTTTTTTCCCCACAAATTGAGCTTTCTTTCGGTGGTATTTGATCGCCTGTGCGGTTTTTTTATTTTTTGCGCTATAAAAAAAAGGCTGACAATTTTGAGGAAAAAAAACAATATTTTGGACTTTTTTGCTATAAAACATGTCCAGTAAAAAAAAATTTAAAAATCAAATTTAGTCATAAATTTCTGCCAAATGCATTCTGCGACATGTCTTTGCTAAAAAAAAACCCCAATACGTGTAAATTAATTGGTTTACGTGAAAGTTATAGCGTTTACAAATGGCGGGAAAGATACTGGGATTTTTAGGAGTTTTTTTTATACTAATAATGGCGGCGATCAGCGACTTATGGCGGGACTGCAGCTGGACATTCTGACATTGGGGGGGAACTGACTTGGGGTCACTGACATCCCCAGTGACACCAATACAGTGATCAGTGCAAAAAAAAAACACTGACACTGTACTAATGGCACTGGGGAGGAAGGGGTTAACTTTATTATTCAGGGAAAGGGTTAACTGTGTGAGGGGAGTGTTTTACTAGGGGGCGGGGTGTGTACTGCAGGGAACACCGCTGATCGGGACAGATAAACTCTTCTGTGCTGATCGGGACAGATAAACTCTTCTGTCCCGATCAGCGCGTCAGGAGCTGTCAGGGAACTGACAGAAAGCACAGCTACTGTAGCTGTGCTCTCTGTCACTGATTGCACTAATTGCTGGAACATAGATGGTAACGACCGGCTGTGACCCGGCGACTGACATCCGCGGCCGTGATCGGCGGGACAGGTAGGGTGGCGGCGCGCCCCCTACCTGTTTTAAAAACACAGGTTTTGCCCAGCCGTGCCGCCCTGCCGCCGTATTTCTACAGTGGCTGGGCGGCATGTGGTTAAGCTGCCAACAATTACTGAACACAAATATTGTGAGTCCTGTTACACTATATAAGTTATATTGCATATAATGTAGTCCTGATCCCTGCGCTATATACACTGTCTTGTGCAATATGTAGTCCTGATACTATATAGTCCTAACTGTTGAATCCTATACAATATATTATACATTAGATAGTCCTGACTTCTGCTATAATTTACCAAAATTGGATCAGCCAGAATTTGGTGCACATGCGCATAGTAATCAATCAGCTTCTATCTTCAGCTTTTTCAGTAAAGCTTTAAAAGATAGATGTTGATAATAATGTGATAACATCCTCAACTTTGGACCCTTAAACAGAAAGTGATAATGAGGGAGGAGTCAATACCCCAATGATGGTGGTCTTCAGGATCAGTCCAGTCTTCATCTTGGTTGTTCTCCCCCCCCATCCTCACTCTCTGACCTCTGGTGGGGCTCAGCCCCGCTGTTCTTCATGACTAAATCATGGACTAAATAAGGAAGTGCAGTACTTCTTGTGTTGGGAAGATGGTGATGAGTGATAGAGGGGGTGGGGACCCTCGTCCTATAATCCCCTCATCACTGTCCCTCCTATAACAGACAGTTCTGGTTGTTTCCTCACAATCTGACTAAGGTCCATGAATAAAGAAATGACCTGGTAGGAGATCAGAGGAGCCATTTCCTAGTTCCCTTGAGGGTGGAATTGTAAGCTCCTCAGAGACCAAGCTGTCTGATGTGGGCGGAGTCCTGGTTTGGGGGAACCAATCAGCTGCCTGTCTAGTAATCCTCTTTGTCTTTGTATTTTAGTCCATGGCCGGGAGATGAGGAAAACCTCCGAGGATTGTCTCACTTTGTCTCCAGACTGGAAAGTAGAAGATGAGGACATCACACAGTATAGTCCAGGAGAAAACCCGGCTCCCTCCAATGTCCATCCGGCACCACCCAGTGTAGATGGACCATCGGATTCCTCGTATCCTGAGGAACCTCAGACTGTGCGGGACCGGGCCGGCCTGCCAACAGGGAAGAGCTTCTCCTGCACTGAGTGTGGGAAGAGTTTTCAATTTAAATCCGATCTTAATGTTCATCAGAGATCTCACACAGGGTAAAGAAGCCACATTCCTGCCCTGAGTGCGGAAAAAGTTTTTCGAAGAAGTCCCATCTTTCCATACATCATAGAACTCACACGGGGGAGAAGCCATTTTCCTGTCCTGAGTGCGAGAAATGTTTTTCATTGAAGTCCTCTCTTTATAATCATCACAGATTGCACACAGGTGAGAAGCTTTATTCTTGTCCTGAGTGCGGGAAATGCTTTGTAAAAAAATCAGAACTTGACATACATCAGAGATCTCACACGGGGGAAAAACCGTATCTCTGTTTTGAGTGTGGGAAATGTTTTGTAAAAAAATCAGAACTTGTTCTACATCAGAGGTCTCACACAGGGGAAAAACCATATCTCTGTTCAGAGTGCGGGAAATGTTTCTCAAGAAAGTTCAATCTTTATGGACATCAGAGGTCTCACACAGGTGAGAAGCCATATTCCTGTTCTGAGTGTGGGAAATGTTTTGTACAAAAAAGTCTGAACTTGTCAAACATCAGAGGTCTCACACAGGTGAGAAGCCATTTTCCTGCCTAGAGTGCGGGAAATGTTTTTCACAGAAATCCCATCTTTACACACATCAAAAATTGCACACTGATGAGAAGCCTTTTTCCTGTTCTGAGTGTGGGAAATGCTTTTCACGAAAGTGCAATCTATACAGACATCAGAGATTACACACAGGTGAAAAGCCGTATTCCTGTCCTGAATGTGGAAAATGTTTTGTACAGAAATCAAACTTGTTATACATCAGAGGTCTCACCTGGGGAAAAAATTGTATTCCTGTTCTGAGTGTGGGAAATGTTTTTCACATAGGTCCAATCTTAATACTCATCAGAGGTTGCACACAGGTGAGAATGTGTATTCCTGTCCTGAGTGCGGGAAATGTTTTGTACATAAATCAGTGCTTGTTACAAGCATCAGAGATCTCACACAGGGGAGAAACCGTATTTCTGTCCTGAGTGCGGGAAATTTTTTCATAAATCCAATCTTAACAAACATCAGAGATTGCACACAGGTGAGAAGGTGGATTTCCTGTTCTGAGTGTGGGGAAATGCTTTGTACGAAAGTCAGAGCTTTGATACATCAAAAGGCTCACAGGGGGGAAAAGCTGTATACCTGTCCTGAGTGCGGGAAATGTTTTTCACGGAAGTCCAATCTTTCCAGACATCAGAAGATCTCACACACACGGGGGAGAGGCCATTTTCCTGTCCTGAGTGAGGGAAATGTTCCTCACTGAAGTCCTGTCTTCCTGTACATCAGGGTTCCCACACAACCCTGGAGGTGTATTAGTGCCTTGAGTGCGGGAAATGTCTTCTATATGCATGTTGCTGGACATCCCAGCTCTCATGTGGGGAAGAAGCACACCCTGATATACACCTCAGATATACTCCATGTATGATCTTCATCATGGAAGAAACAGTTCATAAGGAGATCAGAGGTCACCTGACATGACCTCTCATCGGCTGAGTACATTTCGTGGTGGAAGATTTCACAAACACTATATTTAAAATAGTTAAACAAATGTGACCGGCCATGATGAATGTTCATCTTTCTTTCATACAATGATTATTATTATACAGGATTTATATAGCGCCAACAGTTTGCTCAGCGCTGTACAATATAACGGGAGACAATACAGCAACAATACAGTTCAATACAAGAGGGTTAGGAGGGCCCTGATCCTGGGAGCTTACAATCTAGGAGGGAGGGGCTAGTGGTACAAAAGGTAATAACTGTGGGGGATGGACTGGTTGGAAGAGTAGAAGATTCCATTATTAGCTGAGGGCCGGATAGGCTTCCCTGAAGAGATAGGTTTTCAGAGATCACCTAAAAGTGAGCAGAGTAGGCGATAGTCTGATAGATTGGAGTAGAGAGTTCCAGAGGATGGGGAGACTCTGGAGAAGTCCTGGAGATGAGCATGGGAGGAGGAGACAAGGGAGCTAGAGAACAGGAGGTCGTGGGAGGAGCGAAGAGGACAGTTTGGGTGATATTTGGAGACAAGATCGGTGATGTAATTTGGGGAGGAGTTATAAATGGCTTTATATGTTATTGTTAATGTTTTGAATTTTATCCATTGGGCAATGGGAAGCCAGTGGAGGGATTGGCAGAGAGGGGTGGAGGACACTGAATGGAGGCCAGTGGAGGGATTGGCAGAGAGGGGTGGAGGACACTGAATGGAGGCCAGTGGAGGGATTGGCAGAGAGGGGTGGAGGACACTGAATGGAGGCCAGTGGAGGGATTGGCAGAGAGGGGTGGAGGACACTGAATGGAGGCCAGTGGAGGGATTGGCAGAGAGGGGAGGAGGACACTGAATGGAGGCCAGTGGAGGGATTGGCAGAGAGGGGTGGAAGACACTGAATGGAGGCCAATGGAGGGATTGGCAGAGAGGGGTGGAGGACAATGAGTGGAGGCCAATGGAGGGATTGGCAGGGGGGTGGAGGACACCGAGTGGAGGCCAGTGGAGGGATTGGCAGAGAGGGGTGGAAGACACTGAATGGAGGCCAGTGAAGGGATTGGCAGAGAGGGGTGGAGGACACTGAATGGAGGCCAGTGGAGGGATTGGCAGAGAGGGGTGGAAGACACTGAATGGAGGCCAGTAAAGGGATTGGCAGAGAGGGGTGCAGGACACTGAATGGAGGCCAGTGGAGGGATTGACAGAGAGGGGTGGAGGACACTGAATGGAGGCCAGTGGAGGGATTGGTAGAGAGGGGTGGAGGACACCGAGTGGAAGCCAGTGGAGGGATTGGTAGAGAGGGGTGGAGGACACCGAGTGGAAGCCAGTGGAGGGATCAAGCCATGTATAGTAGTGATCTGTGAGCGATCCTGTGCTATCTGGTGTATGGAGGATCACTTTTCTGACAGCAAGGGAGGAGAGTACAGCACAGCCCACCTCCTCCCGGCTCTGATTTCCGGGAGTTTTCTGTAAGTTTGGGATGGGGAACTATTTTTCCTGGGATGGGTAACAAGGGAGAAGGGGGAGGATTGTGCTCGGAGGGGGGATTTTTTTTCTGGGAGGGAGGATTTGTGCTAGAAGGGGGAGGGGGATTTAGGCTAACAGGGTATTTGGGGGGACTTGGCTAGGAGGGGGAATTGGGGGTTTTGTGCTGGATGGGGGGATTTGGGAGTGAGGATTTGTGCTTGGAGGGGGTTTTGGGGGAAAGGATTTGTGCTTGGAGGGGGTTTTGGGGGAGAGGATTTATGCTAGGGTTGGAAATTTAAGGGGAAAGAAGATGTGTGCTGAGGGGGAATTTGTTTGTGCGGGGGACATTTGTGCTGGGGGGGGGGGGGGGAGTTGGGAGGGATTTGAGCTAGGAGGTAGGATTGGGTAGGATTGGTTGGGCAGAGAGTTGTGCTGAGAGGGGGGATTTGGACTGGGATCTCCTCCTTCCCACACAGCACATAGCTGAGACTGGATTTCTTTACAGACTCATTTAGCACAGTGTGTAGCTGGCTGCTGTCACAGTTCTGACCTGTGAAACTCCCAGATTAGAATGGCAGCACAGCTGCAGTAGCCAGCTACACACTGTGCAGATCGAGGCTGTGTCTGTAAGGGAATCCAATCTCAGCTATGAGCTGTGTGGGGAGGAGGAGATCTGAGTACCCAGGCTGTGTGCAATGTGGGGGATGGAAGGAGGATCTCTCCTGAGTGTCCTGCCAGCAGTGACCCTGTCCTCTTCTCTGTTGACCAATGTACCCTGCCAACCCCCTCTACTCTGTCCTGCTGACCCCTGTCTTCTGCCCTGATAATGCTTCTTCTCCACCCTGCTGACTTCTATCATCTGCTCTGCTGACCCCTGTTCTCTGCTTTACTAAACATCTGTACACTGCCCTACTGACTCTTGTACACTCCCCTGCTGATCTCTCATCCTCTGCCCTGCTGACCCCCTATACAATGCCCTGCTGACCCCTGTACACTGCCCTACTGACTCTTGTACACTCCCCTGCTGATCTCTCATCCTCTGTCCTGCTGCCCCCCTATACAATGCCCTGCTGACCCCTGTACACTGCCCTACTGACTCTTGTACACTCCCCTGCTGATCTCTCATCCTCTGCCCTGCTGATCCCCTATACAATGCCCTGCTGACCCATGTACACTTCCCTACTGACTCTTGTACACTCCCATGCTGATCTCTCATCCTCTGCCCTGCTGACCCCCTATACAATGCCCTGCTGACCCCTGTACACTGCCCTACTGACTCTTGTACACTCCCCTGCTGATCTATCATCCTCTGCCCTGCTGACTCACTGAACAATGCCTGCTGACATCTGTACACTGCCCTACTGACTCTTGTACACTCCCCTGATGATCTCTCATCCTCTGCCCTGCTGATGCTGAACACCCCATCTATACAATGCCCTACTGCTCTTGTACACCCCCTGTACACTGCCCTACTGACCCTTGTACACTTCCCTGCTGACCCCTGTACACTGCCCTACTGACAACACTTCCCTGCTGACCCCCTATACAATGCCCTGCTGACCCCCTATACAATGCCCTGCTGACCCACTGAACAATGCCCTGCTGACCCCTGTACACTGTCCTGATAATCCCCTGTACACTGTCCTACAAACTAATGGCCTCTGTACACTGCCCTGCTGACCCCCTGTGCACTGACTGACTACACTGCCCTTCTGACCTTGCATTCTCTGCCCTCTGTCATTGTTTATTGCACTCCCACATCAGATAGGCTAGGTCTGGTCCTGCAAGGACCCCATATATACAGTATACAATGTGACAATCATATCAAGTGTAATATTGGTAACTCAAGAGGGGTCCATTGCAGAAATTCGGGATCTATGTTTGATTTTTACCATTGCCATGATATTCTTTTAATGTTCTAATCTACTGTATATGTGAATAAACTTTGAAAAATGTAATTTTAGTCTTTTCATCCTTCTGCATCCACAATGTCTATTGATTACTGTTGTGCACCCGCTGCGTCCTTACCAACGACTGACGTCATCTGCCCTATTCACTTACATGGCTGGGAATTCCTGGCTGTGTAAGCAAATGGGCAGGGAATGGAGCCGGTTACATACTTGCTTAAATATGGTCACATGACCATATTTGGGCAATAATGTCACTACTTACCAACTGTCAGTGGTTGCTAAGGAAGCAGCGGCTGCTTGCACCCTCTCTACTTCCTTTTAAAATGACCACCGTCATGCAGACCAGTCATTTACATGTGTTTGAATCCCGGGTCACATAAGTGGACGGGTAGGGAATTGAGTATGATATCACTGCCTAAATATGGGGGGTTATTCTCTCTAGGTATGGGATTGGTCGTGTGCTTTTGGGTCATCAGGTTTTTTTTTTTCCAGTGATGTCAGTCATCGTGATTGATGTTGAATTTACAACAAGGGACATTTTTGGGGATTTTTATTTTGTTATAAAGAACTTGTCAAATGTTTGGTCGTCTTTATTTCTAGGTGACTTTTTCATTTTGTGAATGAGTAGGGGTCAGGGGCGGACTGACCAATTGGAAACTCGGGCACTGCTAGAGGGCCCGGGGTCAGTAGGGGGGCCCCATGAGATG